TCTCTCTCTCTCTCTCTCTCTCTCTCTGGCAGAATCAGGGATTGAACTCAGGCCCTTGCGCTTGCCAGGGAAGCTCTTATTCCACTGAGCCATCTCCCGGGCCCCAAGTTTTCTCTTTTGAACTTCCTTGCATATTCCTTTGTAGAAAGAAGTGAAAACCAACCAAACAAGAAAAACAAAGGCTGCCTGTTGTGAAAACTTACTGTAGCAAGGTGGTCAGCCACTGTCACTTGTGCTCTGACAGACTTAATGGGGGGCAGAACCCTGGGAAACTAGGTGGCAGGGAAAGAGGGCTTCAGCCGAGCCCAGAGCCAGGCTGTCTGCCTGGAGAAGCCGCACGCTAAGGACAAAGCAAATGTTCTGTATGACTGGCGCTGCGCATTCTGCTGTCTTTGACTGGTCCTATATCTGAAGTGAACGCAAAACCTGGAGAACCGGTCAGCGTGAATTTGAGGAATCTTCAGTGGACTGACCGAGTCCGGGTCATTGCGGTCTCCCTGTTAAAGCAGAGAGCGCACAGTTCCTGGGTTACCATGCGGAGAAGCAAGCTACCTCCACAGAGCAGGCTGGATTCCGGGCCTGTCTGCGTAGATAAGGGGCTGGTTCTCAGACAGGTTGCGGCAGGTTGTGGGTCAAAGTTCTATTTCTACTTATAGTCCAGGCATTATCCATTTGCACATGCATCCCTCACTTTTCATAGTAAGGACCCCAACAAAACAAGGTATCACCCAAAAAACTTATTTGTTATCGAAAGAACAAGATCTTTTATATCTTAATGTTATACAAATGTTTCTACTTTAAAAAAAAAAAAAAATCTATTTCCGTCTCCATGAATGAACTTCCCGCTGGAGAAGCTAGAGATACGCGTGACCTCACTGGGCTACTGTAAATCCACGCTGGCTTAACAACAAGCATTGGTTTGTCACCGTGGGAGAAGCTGAAGCGCCACGTCAAGGCACTGTCAGACTGAGTGTTCGATGGAGGTCACGTCGTGCTTCTTCTCACTGTGTCTTCGAGAGAGACGCAGGGTCTCGCGTACTCCAAGTCCCACTCAGCTGCCCTCTGACCTAACCACCTACCTCAGTCCCATCTGCTAATGACACTACACCACGCGCCAGCACTGGGACATACGAACGCAGGGTGCATGTATTCAGTCCATAACAGTCATTTTCTCAGCTCAAGGTCGATGCCATCTATGAGTCACCTAAGAAAGACACGGTCAGAGCCGTCCCTAGGAAAATATGGCAAACAACTTAGTTTGAGGATGAAAAATCTAGAACCTGACCACTTCAGATGAATATGTACATCCAAAATTAAACCACATGACGGAAGGAAACATCTTCACGGTGAAGCTCCCCTTTTTTTGTAAGGTAGGAAAACGGCCCAGGTGGGGACATACACATATCGCTGCACCCCAGCACAAGGCCTGGCCAGTTCCCAAGAAATCGGTGTGGGAGTTGGCCTACAGCCTAGGACGTCACTGGCCATTTCACAGAGTACCAAGTGTTAGTCCAGACTCTGTGATTACAACAAAGTATCTAAGACACAGTACTTTATAAAGCATAAAAATGTACTTGGCCTGTGATTCTGGAGTCTGGGAAATCCAAGAACACAGGGTCAGGATCCGCCCAGCATCCGGATGTTCCTGCTGCGTCTTAGCAGGAAGGAAGACAGAGCAAGCACCGCTCTTCTTATACCGAAAGGCGGGAGTCCTGGCGTAATGATTAAATAAACTCTAACTGCTCCACAGGCTCCCCCCTGCAAGTAGCACTAACGGAAAGCAAGTGTCCCACGGAAGCCCGAGCTACAGCTGCCCTTTTAAACTCTCTGTATCCAGGAACAACCAGATGAAAAGAGAAGTCACTATCCTAGTAGATCTAAACTGACACAACCAATAGGAGGCCATGTGACTTGACATAGTAGAGACAGAGTGACATGGATGCACCTGAAGTGTCCACATGGACGCACCTGATTTTCCCTTGGCCCATTCTGCCTATGAATGGCCACATCCAGCAACGTCGGCCTGGGAAGCTCAGATTCCTCAGGAATGAAGGAAGTCACAAGGACCCACAGAGATTGCCGCTCAGAGTGAAGGGGACTGAAAACAGCCAAGAAAGGAAACGAGTACTGGTCATGACCAACAGGGACTGTGGTTCACCCCAAAGACCCCCCCTTAGCGGCAGAGAACCATGAAGGAGCTCTTTCTTGAAGGTTTGTAAGACACCGCTGTCTCACACACTTCCTCTCGTCGTGGCAAGGAAGTAAGGAAGTTAAGCACCTCGCTCAGCCTCCATTAAACCTGGCTGCAGAGAAGGCAGAGCTGATGGCCACACCTTAGGAACTCTGACCCACACCACAACCCTTGCCCTGGGCTTTTCCAACCAACAGCGAGGCACACCCTGGTATAGCACCTGGCAGCCAAAGCAGGACTCAGCCTATTGGACAGGCAAAAAAGTACAATGATCAGAGCAGCAGTTTCCACCGGGTGGTGTTAACAGTGCTAACTGTGAATACACCAATAATAGAGCCTCTAATCTAAACAGAAAAAGGGGAAAATTGGCAGAATTGTAAAGGGAAGTTGACAAATCCACAATCATAGAGACTAACATTCTTCTTTCATGACTAACATTCTTCTTTCACTAGTGAATGTAGTAATAGGACTAGATAATTCAGAGAGAAGGGGCTAGTACCTTTTGAATGTTTCTTAGTCACTAGGCATTATTACAAGTACTTGAATATTTTAATTCATTTATTCTTCACAATAAGTAACCCCATGTGGTGCTTTATTGTTACCTTTGTCACAGATGAGCAAACTGAGACCTGGGAGATCAAGAAGACTGCCCAAGGCAAACAAACTAGCAGAAGTAAGGACTTACTCCCAGGCAGTCTGGCTGAACTTTCCTTTCTTTTTAAACAAATTTAGTTATGCATTTTACCCAGCAGGTCTGGGAACTACGCAACACATTTGGGCTATCTTAACCTAGAAACACTAACAATCTGATTTAAAGTTAAATTCTGCTCTTGTCTATCATTAGAAAATAAGCCACTGCTTTGTTGAGGAATTTCAAATCATAGACTTGCATCTTTTTGCATTGCTCTGATTTGATGTACAAAATGGGCTCATCATCCGCAAGAGGCGTGGGCTTAGTGGACAGCACAATAATCGAATGAAAATACTATCATTTGAAGGTTGTCCCAGTGTGGTACAGGAGGCAAGGGACCTACACATGGTAGCGCGTAGTCAGCTCCGCCTCAGAGGCAGGCCAGAAAGCTTTGCACGCTACACAGGAGGTGGTATTTATCCAAAATGACAATAACTATGTCCCTAAGCATAATGTAATGTGCATGCATTTTTCTAAATTGAAACAATACAAAAAATGTACAGAAAAAGTAGAATTCATCCAGAAACAACTGCCATTAACCTTTTATGGAAGAGCATGCCAGTTTAAAAAAAAAAAAAAAAATCCTGGGGGCCAGTGAGATAGCTCAGCAGTCTAAAAGCAGTCTAAAGCACCTGCTTAGGCAAGCAGCTCGGGCACTACCTGCCCGAGGGTGCGCTGAGCCAGCTACAAAAAAGAATCCTGGGAGTGTAAATAATGCCTGGCCATGAGCACTTGGGGCACATGTATAAACAAAATGTATTTCGCACAAACTATTCATAAAAGAATATATGTATGAAAAAAATTATGTATAGAACAAATACATACCTCTGTTACAGGGACAAATATGTGCCATCCTGTTCTATCTATTCACTTAATTTTATACAATTTCTATCTTAAATCTTGGTAAATTAAAGGCTTTTACAATTCCTAGTTTTAAACAAAAAAAGGGGATACAAATGAAGGACCATTTTGTATCTGTATATACAAAATAGTTAGGACAGACATACAGCTACTTTCTCTTAATTCAATAAGAAGGAATTGTACTAATAGTGTTTGGACAGGATATCATTTCTACATCTTGTACTATGAATAACCACTATGAAGACAACATTATGCAATGTATTAATTATTGAAACTATCCTACTAATCAGTTTTGAAACTGTCTCATTGCTATTTGTTTCTCAATAAAATTAATTTAAAATAATAAAATAAAATAAAATTCCTAGTTTTGGGGCTAGGGAGATGGCTCAGTAGAATAAGTGCTTCCCTGGCAAGCGCAAGGGCCTGAGTTCAATCCCTGGTTCCACCAAAACATAAAACAAAATAAAATTCCTACTTTTATTTGATTTTCTTTTTCTTAGTCTATAACTTTGCCAGAAGTTTGTCTATTTCATTCACGTTTTTTAAAAAAATAAAAAAGAAGATATCCAAAACATATACTCGACGCTTTAAAGCACACTCTTAAACATTTTTGAGTCAAAGATGTAATGATAGTGTAAATTTAAAAATACCTGAAACTAACAAAAATAATTCCCCAAAATACTTGTGAGATATGCTAAAGAAATTATTAAAGGGATATAATCAAATTAATGAGTTATGCATTTGATTCAAAAAATTAGGAAAAAAAAAACTGAGTAAACCCAAAGTAGATAATAAACAGAAATCAGTGATAGAAAATAAAGACACCCAAGCAAAAAATACCAAAAGTCTTCCAAGTGTGAATAAAAAGGACACTCCCATCGAAGTGGGCCACAGACCAGAAGTAGAGAATCTCCCTAAAGGTACTGCCAGAAATTTTATTAAATATTAATAATGTGAATCATAGGAGAAATGAGCATTTGCTTGTAACTCAAAAAACCTTATCAAACCTTAAAAATAGGAAACTGAAGAGGCCTATAATACTAAAAACACAGACAGAGGAGTTTAAATATGTAACTGCGGAGCAGTGGTCAGCCCTGGCCCCACAGTAACCCGATCTACATGGTCTCAGGGTAGAGAATGCCACAGCTGTCCCCTGTGTTTCTGTAGCGCTGGAAGCGGTCCAAATACTGTTGCACTGCCACCCTGCTGATGTGGAAGATATGGGACACAATTATAATGAATCAGAAGAGGTGAAATTACTCAGCAACAGGTCAACCTTTTAGATCAATTTGTGTATACGTAAGTCATCAACCTAAAGAGTCTTTTTCCTTTTTTTTTTTTTTCTTCTTTTCTTTTCTTTTTTTTTTTTTTTGGTCTGAGATGGGGGCTCACTGTACCCAGGCTGGCTTCGCACTCACTGCGATCCTCCCGCCTCAGCCTCCCCAGAGCTGGCATTACAGGCGTGCCCTAGCAAGCCGGGCAAGAGTGTCTTAAATAGTGAGTGGAATGTCGCCTTTCGCCATCGTTCCTCAGCAAAGAACTATTGCTTTTCTGTTTTGAAACAGTAAACCATTTGAGCTATGAAACAAAGCAACTTCAAAGAGATACAAAGTGTATCTTTTACAGACCTTGGAACTCACACTGACAGCTAAAAAAAATTATTAAATGTTTGCTAAGGTACAAACGAGGTGGCGCTGGGGCCAGGGCTTCCAAATGCCAACAGGGCTCAAGGGCCGGCGCTCTCCACCCTCGAACTGGAAAAAACCCGCCGCCCCGGGGATCCGGCCGGCCCGCCGGGCGGGATCTCGTCACCAATTCCGGGCGCCGCCCCCGGGCCCCAGGGTCGACCCGCGGGGACGACCCACCTCCTCCGCGTCCCGGCCCAGCGGGATGCCCAGGTTCTGGAGCCCCTGCTGCAGCTCGCGGATGTCCACCACG